ATTATACACTTATATAAACATATTAATGGGTAAAAGATTCAGATTCAGATTAAGATTGACAATAAACCATGCCAAATATTACACACTGGCCCTTTAAGTGCTCTACTCCACTGGTTACACGAGCTGTTTGTTGTTTAATTTTATTTTATATTTTCTTTGATACTCTGTTTTATTTGCTTGTGTGACAAAGGTCTGGACCAAATCACAACAATAACCGCCAAATGCAGTATTATATTACTTTTCTTTTAGCTCTTATATATATACTTTGATTGCATTACACCGATAAATCAAATAAACCTGTGCTCTGGATTGTTGCTTCCAGCAGATGGACGGTGATGCTGAGATGAAAGATGGAAGTTTTGAAGCTCCTAGAACAGGTGCAGAGAAGCAATGTTCAGATGGGACAGGTAAGACTTTTGACATTAAATTGACTTTTCCTCATACCATCCTCATTTATGAAATAAACACATTTTGTTTCTATATTTTAAGGAATTAAGTCAACACAAACCAGGACTTTAGCACACAGGATCTCATTGGATATACATTGGACACTGGATCTCTATAACCACTAAAACAGACAGTATTAAACTGATTGATCATTAGTTAGATTTGACCCACATTAAATATATTCACTAAAATTGGAGTACCACAATTTTATAAACCTGCTAGAACAACATCATGTAAAGTTTGGACAACAACAAAAATGCTGTTGTATGATCTACATCAAGAGGTGTATGTTACTTTACAAGCAGATTAATCATCCCAAACAATTTGACAAAGAGGTATACAGACGTTCATTTTAAAATGAAAAGAACAGTGGTTTCAGATCAATAGTCCGTCAGTACTGTTAGTTTAAGCGCCAGAATCCATATCAGGATAGAAAACCTGTGTTTTGTGTGAGTATGAGCACATTAATAGCAGCCAGTGCAATGACAGTTGGTTCAAATATTTAAAATTCAGTCCTTGCATTCTCTATTATGCCAGATGTTTCCTTCACAACACAGTCAGTACCTAACACTAAGGATGTTAAGCAGCTTTTGACACATTCTTTAGATAAATTGATAAGTATGAATTGTCAGTACTTGTAGTAGTAGTTGGTAGTTTAGTGTTAAGTCGTGAGACTATTTTTTCAACAGGTGAAAGTGCACCCAGTCACTCTGAAGCTCCTGAAGTGTCTGTAGAGCTTGGGAACTCTACTGAGGCAGAGCTGCACCTGGAATGGAAGAAGCAAAATACTCATCAGGGTGATGAAGTCAGGGAGGAGAAACAGCACAAGGCCTCAGTTGGAAATGAGGAAAATCAGCCAGGGACCCGACAACCACAGACACAGACTGTACTGAAGCTGTCTTTTAGCGAGGATCAGAGTTTCTCTAAAGCACCTTTCAGTGAGGACCAGAATGTGTCGGAGTTGCCTACGGGTGAAGAGCAATGCTTGCTAGAATCAACTCATTTAGAGGAGTCAAACATGAAGGGAACAGTCGAGATTTCCACATTAACTGAACAGGGCATGTCTGAGGTGTTTTCCTGTGAAGAAATTGATGGTTTTTCATACAGTGAAGAGGGGATTGAGCCTTCAACAGATGAGGAGGCAAGGTCTTGGAGATATCCTCAAGACAAGGTGTGCAAGGAGGAAGAGTCTATTATAGCTGCAGAACAGGAGGGAGATGTGAGTGCTGAGGAGAAAGAAACGGAGTTGGGATCATCCAGAATGGAAAAAGAGAAAAGAGGCAGTGTTTCAGATCACAGTGAACCCTCTGACATTCAGGACAGTGAATGCTTTTTGGGTAATGTCTCAGCTGAGATTGCTGGCTCCTCTGAAATGCAGGACGGTGAGAAACCTCAGGAGGATGAGGGTGTGTTAGAAAGCTGTTTAGATGATTCTGTGAAAGATCAGTCTAATTTAAACAGAGACCAAGGAAACATAGAGTCCTGTGAGGGATTTTTTAACGGAGCCGTTACAGAAGATAACAATATTTTTGCAACAAAACATGATCAGGAAGATAGAGGAGGATGTGGTCATAATGATGATATATGCCAACAGCCAGAGACAGTGAATATAAAAGAAAAGGACATGGATCTTGAGTCAGACAGAGGAGTGGGACAAACGGAGGCATCTCCTGTTGTCAGTGTTTCACAATCCCCTAAAGAAACGCAGACAGGGCACACAGAGCTTGAAAGAAATATTGAAGATGTAGCAAAAGCTGAGGAAGAGACTCCGACTGAATCATCAGACATAGATGGAAATGATGACGCTCAGAGTTTGACAGAGGCACAGGTGTCAGTTATTTTGGAGACAGAAGAAATGGAGCAAGATGCAGGACATGAAAGGGAGGGTGTTGTGGATGGGCTGATAGGAGAAACTCACAAGGCAGAGGCAGGAGAAAGCTCTAAGAAAGTCACCTTTATCCTGGAGCCTGAGCTAATTAATGACATAACCCTACCTGAGGCCAGTACCTCCATGGAGCCCAGGGCAGAGACAAGTATGTCAGGTGAGAACAGTAAGAAGGTGAAGGTGTGAGTGCCTGAGGGACACCTTAGGAGGCGTGGAGCACATGGGTGAAGTAGTTTGTTGACATGACAGAATTCATTGACCACTGGTGAAAAGCATACAGTGAGTTCATATTCAGAGCAGCATGTTTTCTAAATCACGGGGTGACTAAAGGTTCGGACATGCACACAAGCAAACATGCACAGATTTTATTCGAGAAGTTTGTATGACTGTGTGTATCTTTTCAAATGTCTAATTTTTTAGCTTAAGTGTGTTTGGAAACATTTATCCCGACACAAGTAATACGTAGAGAAATCAATATTGGGCCATGAGCACACAGTTGGTATTGCACAGGTGCACTTGTGGGAATAATGTGTCTTCAGTTTTATCACTTAGTTATCTGGGACCTCAGCAGCCGTCTATCAGTCGTTAGTTGTAGTTCTTATTTGTTCAGAAAGTTCCATGATACAGTTGAATGTTTCTTTCCACAGATGCTGAACTGAGCTGTCATGATGAGACCAACACCGCTGAAATAATTGATCAGATGTTCGAGGAGGTGTTGGAATATGCTGGAAGGGTAGAGGCAGAGAGGGGCGATGATGAGGACACTGAGGACCATGACAGTGGCATTGGCGTTTGCTCTGGAGACAAAGAAAAACTGGACACGGAGTCAGAGAAGGAGAAAAGTGAAGAGGAGGGTGATGAGAACAAGCTGCTTGAAAGCGATAGAGAAGAGCTGCTGACTTTTCCTCCCAGTGGCATCCTGTCCCCTCTCAGCAAGTCTGTAGAGGCTGTAGTCACCCCTATGGTAAGATTAACTCATAACTTTGAGCTATCAATACACGAGTTCCATTAGGGGAGCTTTGTGATAAATTCAGAGCCTGAAAATATATGTAACATTCCACCACCAGCGACTGGAAACGAGCCAGGAGTCCAATCTTCCCTCTCTGCTCTTGACCCCAGAGGAGACCACCCCCCCTCTTGCTGAATCTGCTCCTCTATACAGGTAATAACATCATAGCCATTTGTACACATTCTGTTTGGAATAAACCGTGACTGAGTTCTCTGTCTTGGGTCATCAGTTGTTGTCTTTTGACAGACAAAAATGTTGTGACACATGTAAAAAAAATTAGAAGCCCAAACTTATATTTGTTAAGTAAGGTTTTACCATTGAAATTGTATAACTGGTGACTTTACCAAGAAAGCACTATAACTGAAATAGCATTGTTAAATTGAAATCACTTATGAATTTGTTATGTAGAACTGAGATGCTTTAAACATTGCAAATCAAATCTTGGATCAGCAGATAATGATGATATGATATGATCAAGTTGAATTATACAGCCTCAGCTCAGAGTGGCTGCCACAGCTGTCTAGAGTCATTGCATAGCAGCTTGTCGCAGGCCAAACTTCACTGCTATTAGGTGTTTTTTTGCCCCAAAGCTATGATTTTACACCGTTACATGTGACGCAAGAGGATAACTAGGATTTTGGTTTCCATAGTGTTTAAATGTGTTTCTGTTGCTTAAATGCTGCACTGTATTTCAGTCATGCAGATCTGTGAACATGTCATGTCATGTCATCATTATCTTCACATTGCTTTTTTTTTGCACTTTTCTTTTGAATGTAGGAGCTGTAAAGTCAGTAATAATCCTTCATTTGTGGGTATATTGTTAAATTAAATTTAATACTGACATACTCTAATTTGACTGTGTAGTTGGTTGGTACACTCAAGTGTCTGTAAATTGATTTTGGTTTGTTCTTTGCATTACAGTATTGATGCCTATCGCACACAAAGACAGAGAAAGCTTCCCACCATTCAGAGTGTCACTCCTGGGGTTCAGAGACGAGCTCCGGAGAAGTCCCAACCTCAACCCTCTGTCAACACCAAGGAGAAAATCACAGTGTGTACCGCAGTTTTCAACGAGACTAACCCAATAACTGTTGTTGTTGTTGTTGTTGTTTAACTAATTTCACAATACGTCAATCAGTATTCAAGATGAGATCTGAGAATGTACATACTTTTATTACTTTCTGTTAATTCAGTCAACTGTAAATGTAAACTGCACTGAAACAGTTAAAATTGGCCTTTAGCTTTTTGATTAATAATTATTATAATCAAATCCAGTACAGATGAGTAACCCACATGTTGTCCTGTGTTTGTCCAGGCTCTAAATACAGAAGCAGGGAAGTTGCAGACTGTGATCAACCAGACCCTGCAGGCTCTGAGCTGCTGTACTGATGAGGAGCACGGACGAGGCTCGCTGGAGGAGGCGGAAGCTGAGAAACTCCTGTTGGTCTCATGTGTGTACATATCAAGATTTTTGGTTTAATGGTCCCATCTCTGTGTACCACAGATAGGAAGTCAGACTATTCTGTTTTATTTAGAGTTTGTTGCTGCAGCAGCATTTGGTGGTCAAAGGTCAAGGTCACTGTGACTCCAAAAAATATGTTTTTGGCTATGACTCAAAATTTCGTATGCTAACTAGACAGGTATTTGGAGAGCGCAGACCTAAACCAAGGCCAGTTGTCCAGTCTTCTATTAAATGTAAATCTACAAGTGTAACCACAATATAACTCTGGATATATTTCCAAAACTGAGTTTCCATAACAACTGCTTTCTGTATGAAGTTTGAGAAACGTTATGTGAAGGCTACCCCAGATTGCCCAGCCCTGACTCACTGCTGAGCAGCATCTATAATTGTTCTTGTGATTTACTTGTCTGTTTCAGGTGAGAAACGCTCTGCTCTGCTGGCAGAGGTGACCAGACTGAGGGAGGAGAGGAACTCGGAGTCAGCGGAAGCAGCAGGAGAGGACAGGGAGTATGTTTCCCAACAGGCCTGCAGAGGGACTGTCAGCATCACAAACATCCAGCTGCCGCTCAAGGTGGAATTCGTCTGCTCATCACACAACCGTACAGGTAGCGTATCAAGAAGACATTTCTTCTTCTTTTTTTTCTAAATTCGGTTTTATTTTTAATGCCTTTATATTTAACATCAATATGATGCATTTGTATGATTTCAATAAAAAAAATTCTATTTCAAACTTCAGGGCTTGCTTAACACAAATGTAGTGGTCGATATCCTCTTTGAAAAGACTGAGTATTTTTTGTAACAATTTAGGTCGGCCAAGTCACTACTTTTTTGTCCTGATCCGCTACGGCCCCTGCAACATTGTCGCCACCCCGCTGGCCACGGCTGCTGATGCTCAGAATGGAGACACCATCTCCTTCCCTACTTCTGTCACTCTGTAAGCTGGTTTGTGGTTGTGTCATTTGATATAGCTTATGCACTGCTTCTAGCACTAATATGCTGCATTTACTCTGGACTTACTTTTCCTGGATTGACAGCACACATTTTATCATAAGCACATAAAACTTCTTTTTTATCCTATTTTAATCAGTGATTGACATCACTGGACAAATCTGTTGGGTTTTTCAGTTCATGTTTTATATTTTGTTAATAAATGATTAATGAATGGTCACATCCAGACAAGTTAAGTCAAACTGAGACACTTTTTTATAAAACATGTTTTTGCTCATGCCCTTTGAATATAAAGAGTCTTATGCCTGTGTCGATCATTTCAGTGCGAAGAAATAGATGATTGCATATGATAATAATTTTGTCTCTTTGATTTCAGGAAGGATATCCGCTCTTCCTTTGAGATTGATGTGGAAGTCTATAGCTTGGTGAGATGAAACATTTGACATTTTGTTGTGCAGTTGTTTATTTTTACGTATATATTAAAATAAAATTAAAAGAATATCAAAGTTGTTGGGGCTGCTGATTCTAGAATTTTATTTTTTTATTTTATTTATTTTTTTTAATTCCCATTTATATGTTTACTATTGTACTTAAATATAACTGGTGATGTATGCAACAAGTGTGTGGTGTGGCTTTCTCGGATGAGGTAGCTGAAGAGCCGTGGTTAGTTGCCTTTAGTAGCATGCTGCAGGTGATGGCAGTGTGGTAGATAGCCCAACATGTTGTTATCTCGACGTGACGTTAGCTGGGATATTGTTCACTGTTGGTATTCGACAGAGATGTATGTGTTGTTGATTGCTAAGCTGAGGTAGCTGAAGAGCTTTATTTGGTGGGTTACACAGCATGCATGGCTGAACATACTGTTAGCACTTCTTAGCATGCTACGTATTTGTCTCAACAAGTTGTTTAGTTGCACAGCACTGATGTTCTGATCTAATTTGTGGATTTTCAATGTGCCTGCGTTTATGCCATCCAGTCCCACACTTCAGGTAGTAGCTGCAGCATGGACCGGACCACCACCAAGTCACGGGTGAGTCAGTGAGTGAGCCAAATAATGAGCCAGGTGTGTATTTATCAATGACAGTCTAATTCACTTATGTTGTGTCTACATATTCAGGTCACACCAAGGAAGCTCCTGAACACCATCACAGTGAGTATCCAGGTTTGATTTCATGCTCACATATTAAAGTATATGTTGTTTATGACCTTTCATCTAAACCTTTTCTTTTGTTTTCAACAGAGATCCAATAACACACTGACATGTAAGTTGAGTTTAATTTTGGTCAGTATTCATTATAGCGGGGGAAAAAAAAAAAAAAAGGCTTCCATTTTAATCAACTTGGCGACTCTTGAATGGTAGTATGTAAATGTTTAGAAAACTCTTGGCATAAATAAATTAAAATAGGAGTTGATATGGAGGCAGCTCTGCTTTCTACCAAATAAGCTTAGTTAAACTCACTGGTCATACATAGTGCTGACTGACTATTTCATGTTTGTTACGAGTTTAATTCTGCGCTTCTTTGCCTTTCAGCTGCTGCTCCGTCTGCTCTCAATACTCGTCGCTCCAGCAACTTTTGTCTGGTGGGCTCCCATAAGATCACCTTGGCCTCACTGGGACACAGCAAGTTCCCGCTGGACAAGGTAATTATCTGCCATGATACTGCTGTAAAGGGCTGCTCACAGTGTATTTGCAATCTTTAGGAACTTAGGTTCATACACAGCTGTCTTACTTTGGCCCAGAGGGTTGTGTCTGCTGCTGAAATGTGTACTGAGCAATGTTGGTGAAAGCAGGATTGCTGGTCAGTTAAATTACTGTAATAGTTAAAAGCAAATGGAATATGCTGGCCTTTGTCAGTGTGGCAAGTAAAATAAAACATTTCATGAATGCACTTTGGTTTATTATTTTGTAAGTGCAGACTCGTGAATACCTTTTGTGATAATTAAATGAATTGGTTATTAATTGAATGATAGCATTCAGTAAAGAAAAGCATGGCCAATCTAACACATCCACTGTCACCAGGTTTTGCACCTTTCTGTGTTTTTCTTTGACCTTCAGCACTGTATGACCAGAGAAGAAGCCCAGTGCTGCAGGCACCACTTAACTATACACTCATGTGGTGCTTTTATTATTCTGTTAGAAGTTTCCACACATGGGTGGGCTCACTGGTGATGTAACGTGTCTGCCTCCCTCCCCCCTCTCTCTGTCTCGCTTCTTCCACTCAGATGAAACTTGAAGGCAAAATCAGGAGGCTGCTGGGAGATGAATTTCAGGAAAAGGTTTCACTCTTTTCACCACACTGTCAGCTCTTCACCTCTCACCGTTTCCCTCTGCAAAAACTAACCTTATCTCTGACTCATCATTTCATTCATACTAATTAACCGCCGCCTCAGCCTTGGTAGTATTTGTTTGTCGTGAGTTGATTTCCGTTTATTAGTTTAAGCTCTTGCCTGTCTGATCTCAGAAATCAAAGAAAATATTATGTTGGTCCTTTGACTCCACTGCTCAGTCAGCACATTGTTGTGAAATGACAGTGCTTCAGTGCTTCAAAATATATATTAAAGAGATATTTACGCGCTTACACAAACTATAAATGTGCGTTATAATGAAATGTATTTGTGCACATATTCTTACACTCCTCTGCTATGTTCTTGCATCATTTCATTTTGGATTACATGGTATCTGGGAGGAAATAGCAGCTTATAAGCCATGTTTACCATAGAGGCTGTGTGTTTGTCCGTGTGTGTTTTAGCCATCTAAATATACCAGAAGAATTTCACTCCAAAATGCAGCATGGTGCTACCTGCTTATAATGACACTCAGTATATCGAACAGATATAAATGAAATCTCTTAAAAGTCAGAACAGTTGGATTTCAGGTAGCTTTGCTTTACAAAAACAGATAAAGATCATGTTGGAATGAAATTCTTCAAATTATTGTTTCCTGTTTATTGTTTCTCTACATGTCTTTCACACTACACTGGTTTAACAGTGTGTCCCCTTCCTCTTTTTCCCCGGCCTGCAGGTGCCTTTTCTCTCTCCTCTAGAGGGCAACATCTACCTGCATCTGGACAGCGAGAGTCACTCTAATGTACAGCACCAAGGCTTCCTGGTCAGTACTGTGATGTTGCTTATTTTCCTCAACTTTCTTTTTACATTGCAAACATGTCCATCTTAATGAGAATTTAGTGTCTAACTGACTTTAAATTTTAAGATTCAGTGTTTTGTGTTTTGTTGTGTTTGTTTGTTTTGCTTTGTTGTTGTTTTTTTTGTTATAAAATCTTCAAAAAAATGCAAATAAAAAAATTAATTTTAAGATTCATAAAGTAAATGGGGGGAGAATGTTCTGTTTGGTCTTAATAATTTATAATTAAGTGTCAGTATCTTCTTGCTGCATTTAGTTGCATTAAGCCCACTCTTTTTCTGGATCTGTTCCCAGACAATGTTTGAGTTGCTCAATGGATACGGTGTGTGGCATCGCCGATATTTTGTTCTGGAGGGATGCAACATGCACTACTGGAACCACCCCAACGACAAAGAAACTAAGGTAAGGACAGACCAACAGCCAGACGTCAGACTTGAGCAGACTGAGTCACCAAGTTACTTTTAGCTTTGATTCTGTTTTCTCTTGAACTTCCCAGGAAGCAGAGAGCAGCATCTCTTTGTCCAGCTCTCACAGTCAGTGCGTCAGGCCTGTGAAGAGGGACTCGTGTGCTCGACCTTTCACCTTTGAGCTGGTGAGCAACGTCCCTCAGCAGCAGGACGCCAGCCAGGATGCCTTGGCCAAGTAAGATTGAATAATAACCACAACACCCTGAAAAATTAGATCTTTGTGAGTTAGTGAAGTGTAAATACACTCAGTTTATTTAGTTAAATATGACATCTTTAAAACAGATGGCAGGATTTGTTTTTTTATGGTGTTTTTGTGTTCATAGATTGTAATCCTGTTTTTTTAAGGCACAAATTCTTTGCAGAATAAAACTCCTCACTTACCATGAAAACATGCTTAAATGTAATTGGCATTTTGTTTACAGTAAGCATGATGCATGTTGCTCTTCTGGCTGGAGTCAACTAGTGATGTCATAGAGGGTGTTTTACTTTTGACAGCTGATGGGAAACACCTTCTGTGACATCAGTGATTGGGTTGCCTCTCGAAATGTGTTTTTAAAGCAGTATAATTACTATAAAAAAAGATAAACAGCCACTACACTCTTACAGCACATTTCACATTGTGTGCCATTGGATGTGGTTTATAAGGGAAACTGTGGTATTTTTCAACCTGGACCCTATTTTCATGTGTTTTTGTATTTAAGTGACTAATGGAGACAACAATTTTTTAAATTGAACTAATATTGAGAAAGGCTGCAGTATCTGACAACATCACAGAGAGGACCCCTCAGAGAAATTAAACATTTTTCCACACCTCTCTTCTCTGGTCTATTTATTATTGTCACCAAGTCTTGCTCAAGGTGAAGTCTCCTTTAGAATTCTCCAAGAGGTGACTTGTTGCAGGAAAAGCAACAGTTTAAATGTGCCAGGAAGAGTTTGTTGTGTTGAGAACATAAAGTGTCATTTTGTGTTATCTCAAAGATTTTCAATGTCATGGCTGAATATTTAGCTCATTTTGACATTGTGGAAAAGTCTGACATTTCAGAGCGAGACTTCTCCTTCGGAGAGACTTGGTTACACACACTAACAAACAGATTGGATCAACGAAAGGTTAGGAATAACTTTCATTTTACTCTAGGGTCCTTGCCATAATGTAGTCAGACACTATTAATAATAATTTGAGCCAAGTCGTTTTAGTGGACTTAGATTGCTGGTGCACAATAGCCTGTCAGGATTAGATTGCAGTCTGTTTCGTGGCTCAGACTGCAGACGTTTAAAAGATGTTGTCTCCATTTGTCACTTAGAAACAAAAAATGTGGGAAAATAAGACCCAGGTTCAAAAACACTGAAGTTTCCCTCTAATTTGGAAGAAAATGTAGAAAAAGCTGTAGTTGTCTTGTCCATGATTTTACAGCAAGTGTTCCAAAGTAGAACAAATAATTTGACCCTGATAAGTGTTACAACAGGCTCAACATACCAGTAACGGACAGGTCTGGTTACAATGCTGATGGATGTTATTTTTTCCAGGTGTTGGTTTTCAGCTGACACCAAACAGGAGAGATTGGACTGGATGGAGAAACTCAATCAAGCTCTTTTGGACTTTCACACATGGAACCGCACGTCAGCAGCCCAAACAGAAAGTCAGCAGTCAAACTCGTCCAGCAGTGGGAACCTGAGGGAGAGCATACTGTAACAACACCACGAGGCCAACGAACCTACTCTGTGTGGTAGATAAGCTGACATCAGGGTTTAGATTCTTCACCTCAGAGCTGCAGGAGGTGAGCTGCTTCTTAACAGGCTCTGTTTCACAGTCGAAATGAAACTGGCAAATTGTAAACGAGGCAAAACATTATGTATCTTATATTGATTTATTTTTTTTTGGGAGATTATTTGATTTCCATACTATTGTTTATTTCTTTTAACCTGAATCCAGTCATTGCCGTTGGGTTTCACTTTTATTTGCTGAGTTACAGTTGCCATTTGAATAATTTTAGTTTTTCTTTATCATGATTTTGTGGAAGAAGTTTTATTTTGAATTTTCTGTGGCAATCAGCTGCTTTAGCCTTTGTTGGCAATATTATTTGGTCACTTTCAGTAGCTAAGGTGAAACTTCTTGTAGCTGATATATTTTTGTAATAATTTACACATGTATTTAGATTCATATTATATTTTTGCTTCGTATAAACTGGAAGGATAAACCAATTTATATAGACATACTAATAAATATTGAAGGAGGAGGAAATCTTTAACGCTACTAAACGTATCTAGGGTGAGAATGTATTTCAAATGGCACGAAACACTACAGATCAATAGTTCATAGAAGGAGTGCTAGTTAAGGTTGGAATGGGAGCCTTTCATAGGCATTCAGACATACAGTTTTTGATCATGGGCCGAGTGGATGCATTGTAGATGGAAGCAGGCTTTTTTTTTTTTTTACTGAACCAACAAATATTTGGCTGTTTCTGTAAAATGTGATAGAATTTTTACTGAAGAAATAACCAGTCAAATTATCAGACAGTCCCTCTTGTCAGGGCGTGTCACTACGTCTCGGAGATTTTACTTCGTTCACAGTGGTTTGAAGTTTTCACTCATTTTCCCAAGTGCACGATTTGTGTTGCTGCACATAAATCAATTCATATATTTACAATATTAAACCATGTTATATGTGTAATGCAGTGGATGAGGGAACTGATGAGGTAAAAGAGGGGACTGTAGTGATGCTGCTACACTGAATGTAGTCTGTTCTGTCTGATGTGTTCTTTTCCATGTATTTCCACCTATCAGTCTGTCTCTTTGTTCTCAGTGTTATTCATGTGAACTCTCATTCTATGCACTTAATGAAGTTACCAATAAAATAAATGGATTGAAATGGCTACAAAAACAATTTACATTTATGGACTACGGGCGGGGGTATTGCATGTAAGTGCTGGTACAGAGGCTAATATGTCTGTTCTATAATTACTCATCAACATTAGACAATGCCACTTTGATATTTCCTTATCCTTTCTGATTAAAAAAAAACAAAAAACACATTGAAATCATGGTACAATGCTATTTAAAACAGATGTCTCACAAATGGACTGAATGGGCCTGACATCCCTTTGTGTCTCACCACACTCCTCTCCTGTATAGACATTTACATGTAAAGGAATGTAAAAGTGTGGCTGGTGCGCTATACATACGGAGCCTGGGAGAGTCTGGCAGGAAGGCAGCTCAGGTCAGGAATGTCATACAGGAAGTGGTCTAGAATTAGATTTCCTGTTCGTCCCATAGCTCCTCTGGGTGGAGGTGCTGCTGGGTGTTGTGGAGCTCAAGGTGATGACAACGAGGAGGGGGGGGCTCAATTAGGCTTTCAAGACGCATACAGCTGTGCTGAACTGGCCAACACTGGTACAGCATTTGTATACCCTGGGTGCTGGGAGGTGGTGCAGTGCAGTGGATTTCTTTTGGTTTGTAACCTTTCACAGATTTGACAGCAGGTTTTATCCCAGTAGTTTAAGTTCAATATGTAAGGTTAATGCAAATGACCTAACTTTTCTTTTGTTAGCAGCATTAGTGGCCATCAGGTTGGTTTAATGATACAATTTTTCAAATCTACAATGGAAGAATGTGAATCAAAGGCTTTGTATATCATTTTATCACTTAGTGTCAATAATATATGTAAATAAATCTACATCTATGGATAAATTGTTTAGCCACAGTAATCAAGCTATTGTACATTATTTCTCTTTTTTAATCCTCCATTAACACTTCAAGCAAATGATTCAACTGAAAATTCTCCCATGTGCCAAGCGTGTAGGAGAACTATGGCGACCGCTATGAAAACAAGAAAATGGGAATGCCCCTATCTACAGACCTTGCTTAGTTTGTCCATTGTGGGCTACTGTAGAAATAACATGGCAGACTCTATGGAAGCGGACCCGCTCTGGCTCATTGTAAGGTAACAAAAACACAATGATTCTTAGTTTCAGGCAGTGGTAAAAAAAAAAAATAAAAAAGTCATGAAACTGTGTTACAATGCTTACGTATTTTTGGGAGTATCTGTACTTGAGTTTTTATATTTCTGTCAGGTTTCACTATTACTCCAATACATTTCTATTTATTAGTATTTTACTGCAGTTTCACTCCAGTATCTATGTATTTCTGTGTCCTGAGCAATTTGTTACTTCATTACTATGAAATATAATTGGAAGGTTTATATGACGGCAAGTGCAAGCAAGTGTTCTCAAAGCCACAGTTTAGTTTAGATTTCCAGTCAAGCCCAGGCTGCATGTCAGATCATATGCTACATGCTAACGATGATGAGACTGACTTCATGATGGAAGCAGAAAATGGCGTCCCACAGACGAATGTAAAAATAATGGACATAGTTACCATGACATTACCATCTTTTTTTTGTTGTTGTTTTCATTTTTGAGCCAGAAGTGACCATATTTGGGCGAGAGGCTGGAGCTGTAGAGGAGTGAGGGGTGGATCTGACTGAGAAGCCAAAGACACCATCGCCAGACAGCCTGTCACTCAAAGCCGCGTGTCCTTAATTATGCCTAACTTTAAGCCTTAATAAAATATAAACAGGTGAGTTAAATAAAGATTCACCCCCTGTCCAGTCATCATGGATGGGGAAATTAGCTATAGAGACCAAACATATTTTTGCACCGGGCTGTAAACCTGTTTATTTCTGCTGTAAAGTTGGGCATTTTAATATGAGGGTCTATGGAGATTGACTCACTTCTGGAGCCAGCCTCAAGTGGCTGTTAGAGGAACTGCAGTTTTTGGCACTTCTGTCTTGGCTTCATTTTTCAGCCCTGGAAGTTGCCAACTGGTGATTATACATTGAAGAAAACATAATCATGGATATAATATTCAGTTTCTGACACTATATTCCCCTAAATCCCACACACTGGACCTTGAAAACTCACAAAATGTGAAGGTTTCATTCAATCTGACCAGTTTCTTGGTAATAAGATTTTCTTAGACTGTCATATAGAACCAAAAATTTTGGTCTTATGGTGGCACTAGAGGACAGGTCAGCAGGTTATTCATCATTTGTGGACCAAGAACGTCCACAGTAAATGTCATATCAATGTGACCAGTAACATTAGTTGGCGAATTATGGCTGAAAGTATTGAATGACTGATGAACAGACAGTTCAGAGGTACAAAAGTTACTTTGATGTCAACTGTCTGGATGTTAGACTTCATCTTTACTCTGATTTTATCCTGCAGGACATCTGTAACTGCAGATCAGATTGTTAATTTACAGCAGAGGGAGTGACTGAGCAGCCAGAAACAGACGGGAGGAAACTCACAATTCTCAGTAGTCATTGCTGTCAGTGTGACAAGACAAGAGTGCAGTAGGTCGGCGGCCGTGTTGTCCTTGGTGATGTGGTCCCACCCTGACAGGAATACATTTTGCACAACATCCTGGTGTGTCAACCTCAGCTCTATTCCTTACATGGCACTGAAGGAAATTGTTCAGGGAAAAGTCATAAATCATTTTTTTCATATCCAGATTTCAATTTTATTTCAGCCTTTCCATGGGACATGTATTATATAAACCTTGTGTGTCACATTTAGTTTAAAGCAGCTATAAGTAATATTTTATAGTAACAATGAGATGTGAAATATGACAAAAACCATATTGGTAAATCCATCACCTATCTCTGCAGTTCCCCTCAGCTCTATTGGGCTATTTAGAGTCTTTCAGCTTAGTGTTTTGGTTTTATTGCCCAAAACAGAATTGTTTTGATTCAGTTTCATCATACTGGAGCATTTAGCAGCTAAAGAGCCAGATATCTTTCTCAGGAGTTGATGGAGACCAAAACAAACCTAAAGGACAGTTGACTTTTGGACTTGCATTCATGAGATGGCATAGCAGTAATGTTGCTCCCTATTTGCTGTTTGGAGGAAAGTCACTGTATCAATTTACAGATTATAATATGTTAGTGATGCATTCACAGCTGGTGTCCACTGACCTCAAGTGGCCTAGAAATCAGTTATTACATATTTAGATTTGTGTATCTAAAATTCTCAATGCTCAATGCAACAGTGGGAGGGTCTTGCTTTTTACGTATTTGCGCTGGTGATAGCCGTGGACAGAGGCAGTATGTTTTCGGGTTGTCCGTCCATATGTCAATCAGTCCTTTTCTTATGAACGCAATATCTCAAGAATACCTTCAGTGAATTTCTTCAAATTTGGCGCAAATGTCCACTTGGACTTAATGATGAACTGATAAGATTTTGATGGTCAAAGGTCAAGGTCACTATGACCTTGCGTACCTCTCATTCTCATTAATGTGTTATCTCAAGAACACCTTTATGGAATTTCTTCAAATTTGGCACAAATGTCAACTTGGATTTAAGAATCAACTGGTTAGAATTTCATGGTCAAAGGTCAGAGATCAAGGTCACTGTGACCTCACAAAATATGTTTTTGGCCCAAACTGAAGAATTCATATGTTAATTATGACAAAATTTCACATAAATGTGGAATAGTATAAAATGATAAAGTGATGACATTTCATATCCAAAAGGTCAAAGGTCAGCTTCACTGTGACATAATGTTTTCTGTCCATTATTCAACATCATGTTATAGGGACAGACGGGTAGACATTTGGTCAGACACTGAATTGGTGACACTCATTTTGGGTGCTCAACTTAAGACCATGCTGATTGTTCATTTTCCTGTGCTGCCAAGGGGAAGATGTGTGTGAAGCATTCATGTTTTCACAGACATTAATGTCAACTATAACTGCAACTTGAGAGATCTGCGGAGGCTTACAAATGTGAGGCAGTAATTCTAGTTTAAAAAGTAAAACATAAGGCCCCCTCTGCACTGAACCACTTTATCACAGTGCCCAACATTCAACCCATACCAGTAACATCCTATGCGAGCTTTCTCACAATCCTGTCTTTCACAATTTTGTCCCTCGCTCAGATTCCTTTTGTTATTCAAGGATAGCTCACAGAGCACCCACGCACAAGTTTTAGAATTGCATGAGGAAATCTGAAGTGCAGCGCTGAAAGATGATGTTCCCATGTTCCCCTCAGATAACGTGTTTGTGCTGGCTCCAGCCACGGGGCCACTTGGCATGCTCCTCGCTGTGTTTTGAAGAGGTCCGGGAAGCTTGGAGGCGTAAACAGGGCGGCCGGTTCAGAGGACTTAATAAACAAACTTCCCTCAGTGGTAGTAGCTGGCGCTGGTCAAACAGCTGCAGAGGATCAGAGAGGGTCAATGACACAGCCTGTTTTTGTTTCAGTGGAAAAACTCAACACATTTAGTTGAGCAACAACAATAGAGTTTACCTACCTGGTGTTAAGAGAAGGTCAGTGACATACTAATGATGTTAAGAGACTGATGTCTGGTATTCATCTACGAACACCTATAAAGTACCCTGCAATGTGAAGGACTAACAGGCATGGACTCCATTAGTTCTTGGCTCCTGTGTGTTCCCTTGTTTTACAGTGGGTTGGAGGCTAATGCATTATACATTGTTTCTTCCTGTAACTGTGTGTTTAATTGGTTTCCCTCTACGAGTCAAGGAGACTCTCGGATTCCCAGGAGGTTTTGTGGGAACACCATGTCCACTTAACCCCTACCCTTCGCACCCCTTGTGCCACCATCTGTATTGTTTTCCTGGCCCCCTCCCCTCAACATCTCGCTCTTTCTCATGCTACTTTTAATGTGGGACAAAAATAGTTCTTTAAAAGATGTCAAGACACCATGACTGTTATTTTACACTTCGGTTTTGTACCAAGCGGCAACCTCTGGGTCTGAAAAATAAAGCTAATGCAAAAGTGCCAAAAACTGCAGTTCCTTAAATGGCCACTTGAGGCTTGAGCATTTTAACACCCATGTTAAAATGCTTAACTTTACAGCAAAAATAAACATGTTTACAGCCTAGCACAAAAAACTGCTATGGTCTCTATAGCTAATCTCAACATTCTTGACAACTGCTCTGAGTGACAGGCTGTCTGCGAAGCGTTGCTACAGTCTTTGAGTCAGATCCACCCCTCGCTCCACCACAGCTCCAACCTCTCGTCCAAATATGGTTACTAGTGGCTCCAAAAAAAACCAAAATGGTGACAGCCTTAATGTCGAACTCGAGTCGTCAAAATGGGAGTCCACACACCAATGGTTGACGTCACAGTAGCTTCGTCCTTTTTTTTATTCAGTCTATGTTTTGTACGTATTACACAAACAAGATATAGCATTAAAATCATGTCGGTTTTTTTCCACTGTTATTTTATTACACATACAGGAAATACCCACTCATGCATTGGAGAGATGCCAGAGTGATGGGTGTTGAAGGCCTGTTCAAGGGCACTTAAGCAGTGCCCAAGAGGTGAACTGGTACCTCTTCAGCCACCAGTCCCGTACATGGTTTGAGTTGGAGCTGAATCGGCCACCTTTCAGTTCTCTTAAAGTGACACCAGTACCAACAGAGTTCTTTATTCAATACCCATCATGTGAATGGAAGCATTTTGTTGCGTAAAATGGCACCAGATGCCACCGGCATGTAGTACAGCTATACTGTCAAACATTTTGGTGACATTTGGGCATGCTGAACTGCTAATTCTGTCAATAAACTCTGCATGACTTCACATGACAGACTGTATAGGTTGTAGCTGCTGTGGTAGTAAGCCAATCAATCAGTATGTTGCATTAATCGAAGAACACTTGCAATGATTGACTGCAAGCGAAGCCATTCAAATAATCATTTTTTATCTGGGGACAAAATGGATCGACTGCAAGTATTCAGCTGGAGAAGTTATGGTACTTCTTGTTACTTGGTTATTTTGGTCGATACCTTAAGGGGTATCGAATACCGATACCCAGCCCTGCTGTTGCCCCAAACATGTTCATTAATAAGTTGAAGAGAGGATTTGGTTTCCCTTGGACAGAGCCAGGCTAGTTATTTCCCCCTGTTTTCAGTCTTAGTGCTAAGCTAAGCTAACTGCTCTCTGGCAGTAACTTCATATTTGCTGTACTAACATGAAAGTGGTACTGGTGTTTTCATCTGACTCTCAGCAATAAGCATGTAAGAAAAAAATCTAAAATGTCACACTCTTTCTTTAGAAATGAAAAAGTTCGAAATGAAAAAGTAAACATGCAGTTCATTCTTGATCTTGCAAATTGTAGTTTGCAATTGTAGTCCCAACTCAAGGTCCCCTTACTAGCTCTCTGCAGAGTTTAAAACAGCGTCACATGGCCTTCATGAGCGGATGACGTTTGCTCAGTTGTCATGGAGATAGATCTGTTCACATGCAAGCTCAGTAGCCGGTAAGATTTAATTTACAAGCTTTTTGTTGCCCAATGAAGAAAGTGTGGCTGAAAGCTCTGAAATCAGAAAGCTGAAATATTATTCTTAAGTAGTATTTACTATCTTCTCAACAGGACCCTGAGTACAGCATATCTCCCAATAACCTCCTTGTCCCTGCCCCTTTCTACCCTCCCCCTCCCCCTTCCACCCCTCCAGCATTATTCTCTTCCCTCTCCTCCCCCCAGCTCCCTCCCTTTCCTGCCGGCCTCTCAGCAGAGGATGTGTCAGGGAGAGAGAGTGTGTGTGAGGGAAAAGAGGAAAGCCGTCAGTAGAATGGATATGTGCCCTCTCTCCTCCACGCTTTCTTCTCCTTCTTCTTCTTCTCTGTCTCATCTGTGTCTTTCTTCACCCTCCTCTGCCAGTGTTGCACCCTGGGCACCCTCAGTGCCGGCCCTCAGGGGAAAGGAGACACGTCGGGCGGACGCACAGCTGCAAACTGAACTCCAATGTCAGCAGGGGATCAGAAGAATGGTGGGGACAAACCAGAAGGTAACAGAACACACAGACACTCACGGTTTGCCTGTTGACAACATTAGTAAAGGGCCAACACCCATTCCTTCTGAAGTCTGTCATTAGCTAAAGACAAAACAAAGCTGTGCAGGGCTGCGGTATTGCCTGTCTGTCAGATAAATGAATGAACTCTTCAAAAAGGGTCATTCATTAGGTTTAGAATAACGTGTTGATTTGTGGACTGTTGCTTGCATTTGTCAACATATTGAATGTTTGCCAGCCAGTGTCAACCACCCTTTGTGTGATGAAGGTTTCTCCTTCAACACAGGAGCTGTGATAATGATTAAGTTCTCTTGTAAGAGCTACTAACAATACACGTTCATCATCCTGAGTCCAAAAATAAGTCCTCTGATGGTCCCAGTGCAATTTCAAATACTTTTTAAAACAGTATCCCTACAAGGTCCATTTAGTAGTTTTTCTGGAGCTTTTAGTCATACTACGTGATCAAGATCCCTGTTGTCATGAAATTGTACATGTTCAAATTTATATTTTGTGTGTCTGTGTACACTTAGAAAAGAAAGTCAAATTCTGTGATCCCAACGATCACAGAATTTGACTTTTTGAAGATCATGCCACATGACTGAAAGCTCCACAACAGCTACTAAATGAACCATGTGGTGAGATTTTCTCAGGTCAAGAATGGGCTTTAAGTGTCAGAACATTTTCAAATACTTTTCTGACAAGAATGAAGATAACCACGAACTTGTTATTTATTTCATTTTTGAAAATAGCCAGATTTAAAGGGACAGTCTCGCATTTTAGTATTCCACTTCCATAAAGTTGGTGCATTTTGTAAAGACAAATTAACAAAAGAATGGTGCAGCAGAAGTTGAGATATCATGACTTTTAAAACCTGTTGACTCCAGGTATCATCATGCAATTTGGGGACCCAAACACAAGCAGACAGCCGTGACACATCACTGTTCACATCCTTGTTTATCATGCGTCTCCATCTGACCACTTGGTTTAAGATTTTCTTACTGCCTACTTCACTTCTGCTAAAGAGTCAAAGTGCCCCACACACAGTTATTATGTCCACACTCTTACTGGCTACTCACTAGCATGCTCACCAATCATATAAGTGGATGTTTTGGAACAGGTGTCACTGTCAACAGAATTCAACATGTCTCCTTCCATAGGGCAAATCAAAGGAGCACATAAGGAGCAGGTCGTAGAGTGTTTGCACACTGTCACCAAAATAACCTCCATGTCCTACATTAATGATGTAGTCCTTGTTGGAGATGCATCAGGACACATTAGCACTGATACTGCAAAAGATGTGGTCAAATGCATCCCAGACCACCTTGGCAAGTGGTCTGAGTGATTGGATCACAATGCGTTTTGGTTGTTTACACCTGTGTTTAGCGCTGTCCACTTATGATCAGATCACCAAAGTCACATGTAAATACCTGGTGTAAACAGGGCCGTAGTCCCTAGAATGAGTCAAATCCTACAAATCATGTATCCAACACTTTCCATAATGCAACTCAGTAGTATCTTTTGTGTTTGCTGTGACTTGTAAATTAACATTAAAGTCTTGGTGAAGTAAAATCAGTGATTTCTTTCTAAACACATTATAAATGTTTCAAAATACTTGTTACAAACATGTGAAAAGACTGGGTTGTGCCAAAATGTGGGGTTAAATGATTTAGCTGTTTTTCGCCATTTCTGTGTCCAGGATTTCTGGGGTGGGCCTAAATCATGACTATCCTTCATACAACTCCTCCACCACTATAACATTAGAGCACTTAGCATTAGTGTTCTTTTGTTTGGCCCCGGTGTGCTACATTTAACAAGCTCTCTTAGCTCTTTCAGTCGAATACACACATGAGTAAACATGTTTGTTAAATGCCACAATCATGTAAATACAAGTGAAATAGTCATCACTAATGTACGCTTTAGTATTTCAGCCCAAATCTGCTACCTGGCCCGCCGGCAGTTACTGCTCACTGCTGTGGGTGTTTACTTTGTGCTAACGTTAGCTACTGTTAGCTGCTGAATGAGAGGCAGCAGTTCTCTCCTTTGGTTCGGGTTGCTTCCATAGACCATGTGCGCTACTGGGTTATCTGCTAACGAGTGTCTGACGCTTTTCAGTGGCTTGATCTTCGTTTCAGCCACTTTAGCGGACATGCCCCCAGCATCTCAGAGTAAGGAATAACTGCTCATTTTTTCATGATTTTGAAACCTTATTCTGTGTACTTGGTGATTTTTTTTTTTTTTTTCGATTATTCAAATATGGCGGGATGGTTAATAACACTTTTTTCTGTTGTGTGACAAACTTATAACACGTATTTATTTTTGCTTTACCTGAACTTTAATGTGTAAAATCAGAGGAATGCCCCTTTAAAGACACCGTGTATCTGCATAAACAACTGTATATGCTATGGCGTATCAGGAGTAGATCTGTCTGGCAGTAGGTCTCCCATCAGACCGGCTGTAATTCTCCACCATGTGCCATTATGAGCACAGAGTCTGCCGGTTTCCATGCCAACCCACCATTCCCACAGCACTACAGTGCAGCAATCAGTCAGTAGCTGCTGTACTGTTGCCCTTGCAGTTGTGTTTTTGACTGTGCTGTGTTGCAGCTCATGACTCATCACTTTCCTGAATGTGAGCTCTATGGTTTATTGTTTTGCAGACTTGCTGATGATGATGTTTCAGCGCTCATATTTAGTGCTGGTAAGAGATAGTGTCCCATGACCTCCTCTGAGACAGAGGCAGCCCTGTTTGTGTAATTGAGACATCCAAACATCTCCACACAAACACACAGAGTCAGGAAAGGCTGAATTTACCACAACCAAATCCTGAACTTTTAGTGATACATGCTTTATCTGTGACTCTTATAATTTTGTTATCTTAATACAATCAACTGAGCTTTCAACCCTGAAGTCACAGAGAGATTGCTCGATGCTGGTGACCAAGCACAGCACATTTCACTCTGCTGAGTCACTGACCAGAGCATTATTCAATTAAGACCAATTAAGATGTGTAATTCAGTGTGTAAGCCATGTTACGTGACTCTGATGGCTGACTAACAGAAATGTTATCCAGCTTACCTGACTAGCCGACTGACAACAGTGCCTCACTTCTCTCTGCTGTAAAAAGATCCTCTCCATTAAGGTTCAGAGAAATGTTTGACTCAGACTTTGCAACATATCCCATTACCTAAACATCGATACTGCTGCTGCTTAGCATATCTCTTTTTGTGGGTGATGGAGCTGATAGTTCAGCAGTAAACAGTGGGAGCATGGGAGAGCTGGGAGGACATTTGGGGACAATATGGGGAACTATTACAAAATCAGGGTGTTCTTTCCTGGGGCTGGTAAATTGGAAACACATTAAAAACATTTTTTACAAATGCAATACATAGTCACTGTTGACAGAGAACTTCCCAGCTGGGAACAAACTTTATCACACCACACTGGATATTATTTCTTGGAAGCAGAAATGCTGTGGAGACAGAAATAATGACACTCGTGAGTAAGTTAAACCTCATTTGGCAGATAATTAGGCCATTTCAAGCCTTTCTGGCATAGGGAACGATGTGATCTGGTTGCAAAAGTCTCAATTTGCCCTTCCTCTGGTTGAAAAGTTTGAGATTTATAAAACCATGACATTTTAAAAGTTCTCATCCACTTGGGACCAAGCCTGTCCAATTCTGATCGAACGTGATGAAGGGCTTGCCTCAGAAAATTGTTTAGCTGACGTGGTAAGCCACCCAGATCATGAAGTATCTGGTCTCATGATCAGTTTAGTTATATACGACACCATAAACTATAACCACCTCCCATAAATATATGACATGTGAAATATCCTCTTTCCCACTGACTTAATATTTTTATTTAAGAGTATGCACTTTTTAACCCTTTGGGCCCTAGGCGTTTTGGGGGTATTTTTACTGCCTTTACTTTTAAGCTCATATCACAGTCATTATAAAGGCTAGATACACATGCTATATCTTGTTTTTTTCAGGACAATCTGGGCTAACCAGATTTGCCATCATTTCAGGTCCTACTATGTGCCTGTATTTTATGTTATTTTTTATATCAATGAAAAAAACAAATCTGTGTTACTAAATTCTTACATTTTCACATGTATCTCACCATAGCAAGTTGGAAGAAGACATATTCTGCCATATATGAAGAGTGGAGACTCTCTGGAATCTGGCAATATAAGAACCATGATGGTGGGACATTCTGTCACTTCACAGTTGTCCAAAACATGTGGTTTGTGCCAGGCGGACATGATTACCAGTATTTTTTCATTATTGCAAGAAATTCCATTGACTCATTCACAAGTCAAAAATGTATTTTATCTGAAATAAACATGCAATATTTACATCTAAGATAATAGAAAAATAGTCACCCAAGTGCAATGATGTCCTCCAAGATAATATTTGCAACTTTGTTTGCAGTAAACAAAGTTTGTTGTTGTTTTTCAGTTTCAGTTACATATTGGGAGGCATTTTGGGTATTGGGGGGACACATGTCCCCCTCAATGTATATGGTGACTACTGCCCTGTCATGCATGCATAATTAGGCTACAGTTGTCTGGGTGTGCAAAGGTGAAGTGGCTGGTCTTGTCATACAAAGTTTGATGGTGTCAACTGGACAATATGGAGATATTTGCATCTTGAAAGCCGGACTACAAATGTGAATAGACAGGGAGAAACACACGCAAGCCTAAGACGTGGTAAGATACGATATTCCTCACTATATGAAGTGACTGATAACAAGATCTGTATAATGGATTGTAAAGAAATTCGTCAGGTTTTTATTTTGTAGACAATCTGGATTTATAGCATGATGGGATGACAGCACAATGATGTGTGTGGTGTCATTGGATAGCTCTGCTCCTGCGATTTCATGTGATATGCGTGGCATTTCTGTGTGAGCCTGCATTCGCGAGTAATCCATCCAAGAGTAATGTTTGTGCAAAGCTGTATGAAAGCTGTTATACATCATTTTAGTGTAACTTTATCATTGTTTTTCGCTGTGAAAACATTGGACTACTGACTACTGACTGCTTGGCCTTGTCGGAAAGCTACGATTCTGCTATTTCACGTGATATGCGTGGCTTCTCGCTATGACGCACGGTCGCGGAGAAAATCCACAGAAGAACAGGTGTGAATTTGGACGGACTATGCGTCGTAGGGTTAAGATGTAAACTAAGAGTGACCTGTAGTGTGAAGAAAGGAATCGCTAGTTGATGTTTTCAGTAGAAACCCTTAATAGCTAATGAGGACTGTGCTCACATTGATTTGGATTGATTCAGATATTGAGACAAAACTAGACAAAACCAGGTACTATGAGATGCTGCTGCAGTACTTTTCTAAAATGTGTCGTCTGTGTGCTTTTCAACAAACTGGAAAAGGCAGATTTGGTGAAAACCATCAAGATGTGTCATCATCAACATAACCTGGGTATTAAAGGGATAGTTAAGATTTTTTAAAGTGGGGTTGTGTGTGGTATTTATCCATAGTGAGTGTATTGCCTTTAGTAGATGTCAGTCAGCACACCCCCAGTTTGGAGAAGCAGGCAGGAGTCAGGCAAGCTAGGCAATGTACTGCTGTAGATGGGGTCAGCAACAAAATGAGCCACCTGAAAAAATCACCATCAGTTTAAGTGTACGCTATATTTAGCATCACTACTTTACATTTCTGTCAGAGAGCGATTTCCGATGGGGAACTAAAGCTGTCATATCTCTCTAATCACAGCCAGACTCCATTAAGAAAAACCATGATTTAACATTGCTAGACACAGAAGCTGTTGGTCTACTGCTGCCTCGATAAGCTGGTTTGTTTGTGCTATTGTGTGATTTCGGCATTTAAATTGGTTAGTTCAGATTCACCAAAGTCACATAATAACACAAACTAACTCAGCAGCAGCTCCAGTGTTCAGCCAACCAAAATTACTGTTTTTGTCAATGTAGTTTGGTGGCATTGACGCGAGCATAAACAAGGAGCTGAAGTTGTTAATGGCTTCCCTGTTGGAATGGGTAGTCTGACAGAAAGATAAAGCGGTGATAATAGTCTCATTATAGGATATACTTAAATTGTTTTTTTTTTTAAAGTGAGACTTTTTTAGGTGGCTTGAAATACATTTTGTTGCTGACCCCTCCACAGCAGTACTTTGTTTAGCTTCTATAGCGTTACTCCTGCCACTTCTCCAAACTGAATAAGTACCACATACAACCCCACTTCAAAAACTACTAACCCTTTAAGGGAAAAAAGGTGTGTAGGCTAACAACCTGACCAACATAACAAAATATGGCTGATGATTTTTTTGTCATCATGCTTTAAAAACCTTTATAATTTTAGCTACTTTCCACTCATCCCTGTTTTTTTGTCAGTGGACATGATTTTAATATTAAATTTCCTGGAAAATGTGGTTCTTCACTGAGTTTTAAAGCCGGTTATCGTAAGATTTGAATTTTTTTTTACATTGGCGACTCCCAGTGGGAGTATCAGAAAAGACAATGGCAAACTAAAATACATATCATAAGAAGAAATGTTATGATTCCATATCTACTTTACATATATTCCACACATTTGGGCTTAAAAAGAGTAAACATCTGCCTCTGTGCAGCAATGACATATGTATATTTTCAGTAATGTTGGTAATAATGTTATTCTTTCCTGTTTTTCTGTCAGACATGATGCCAGTGGCAAAGGTATGGCCAGAGGTGGAGAGGGCCGAGTGTTTGGCCCGTGGTGCTGCCCTGAAGTGGGCATCAGGTGTTTTCTGTCGGCCTGAGCATCTGGAGCGACTGAGCCAGTACAAGAAGAGAGAGAGTCAGAGAACTGCCTCCATTCACACCAGACTGAAGGTGACATCAGAGGCACACATCAAAACACACACAGATATGTATACACAACATGACACTATGTGACCTCAGTTTATAAATGGTCAAGTTAATGGTTGCAGCTGTGCACTTAAGAAGAAAGTGTTGCTGTAAGTCATCAGTGGGAATCAATAGTAACTACTGTGCTGCTGCATGTCACTGCTGCTTTCCTTTCAGTCCATGGTTCAGTCGTACCTGGAGGGGGTAGGCTGGGGTCTGGAGCAGCTCCGGGAGGCCAGGGTCGAGCTGAAGGAGGTGTCACATGCTTTGAAGAAAGCAGGACTGGAGTCTGATCGAAACGCAGAGGGGGTGAAGTCTCTGGAGAGGCTGAGAGAAGCATCTGTCAACCACTGTCAGCTCCTCGCGGCCGTTAGCAACCTGCCACGACTTTACTCTGGTGAGATGCTGCACAAAGTGTGAGTGATTATAACACAGGGCATCTTACTCTGATTCATACTGTACATGGAGTAAATAAAATTGCAAATATACCGGCAATATAATGCAGTCCAACACATCAGCCACTTCTGTGAAGCCTATAATGTTGTTTAAATTTGATGTTAAGTAAAGAATAAATTTTTGCTGTAAAGTAAAACATGCATCTTCAGTCAATAACAGCCCAAAGTAGCACCAAGAAGTTATTGTGTAAGTTGTTGACAGTTGGATGAATTAAAGTTCCCTCCCTCCTTTCCCTCCTTGCCCTTTGCAGTGCGTAGCATGGTGTTGGAGACTGAGCGTCTAGTGGAGTCCAGGCGACTCCTGGAAGCCCACGCCCGGTTGATGGATCTGGAGCGCTGGCAGGATGACATCCTTTGGCAGCTCCATGGAACTGCTGGGACAGCAGGAAGTGCACTCAGCACAGAAGACCAGGAGCTAGTAGCCAAATATTTCTCTGGTGTTGGGCAGCTGGTGGACGCCCTGGGTAAGGAGATCTTATAGACACAGGGTTGGACAGCTTCACAGTTTACGCAGTTGTATGAGTGGAATTAATCCTACTCATTCAAAAGCAAACATATATGGAAACTGTATTTGTTGTGATTTAGTGCCCCATTTTCATCCATTCTAGGCATAATGCGTTCGGTTGTGTATGTGCATGTGTGTATCTGTCTGTCTGCAACTAATCTCACAAAATACTGGACCAGTCAGCCTTATATTTTGTGTGCACATTTACCACTTAAAAACACCTGTTATATGGTTTTATTCGCCATTGACTGCTGACTCCTCACTCTTTTTAACCAGCTTGTGGAACAAAATTACATAGCAACAGCATAGAGTAAAAGGCATTCACAGCAATCGACTGGGCTAAAAACAAACCTTACCTGGTCTGTTGCAGGCCACATTTTAGCCTTCATCATGGCTCAAAAACAGACATAGAAAAGCAGATATGCAGATACAGCACCATATGAGATGAATAAATCCCTGTTTTTGTTACCTTCACCACCATCTTGACTATAAGGGAACTGGGAGAGACAATTGAGTGAGATTCACTTCTTGTTTTTTGAGGAGAGAGGGAGGTAGGGGATTTTATTGGACATTGTGTCTAAGGTTTGTCTTCATGTAGCCTGTCTACTCAAGGAACACCATGATAATGTAACCTGCATTTTATCTTCCCTTCATTCCACTACTGTCATGTATACAGGCTGGACACACAGCCCACCCTGCACTCTCTGTTCCCACCCACATGTCCCCAGACACACCTGGCAGGACTGCACTTTTCTAGTTCTGTATAGATATAGATACAAAAACTTAGATGTATCCATAACCTTTCTTGTATCAACAGAATTTCATTGGACAAAGACTAGGTATTAATTCTTAATCATTTTTTGGTGCAGACCAAAATGTCTTTGTGGCTTGATAACACTAAAGGCTGGCACAGACTATTTAAGCAGTTTTGTTTTCTTAGTTAAAGCTGTATTGGTTGATTTTACAAATACAAATACGAATATGAAAACTTAATTGTCCACAATGTCGAAATTTTCCTTCGGTTTCACCATAACACGTCATAAGACATAGAAGTAGAAGTCTTAGCAGTACACATTCATTAACAATGCCACTCACAACATACAAGTCAGTAATACATACATAACATACAAGTGTCCATGAAATGAAATGGACTTTCTGTGCAAAGAGCTGCGACAAAGTATTAGGAGCTTCTCACTGTGTAACAGTCCTATGTGTGGATCTTAGTTTCATTTATTACCTTAAGAGCTCTTGGGACGGGTAGCACAGTGGTGCAGTGGTTAGCACTGTTGTCTCACAGCACAGGTGGGGGAGCCTCTCTCTGCAGAGTTTGCATGTTCTCCCCTTGTCAGTGTGGGTTTTCTCCGGGTACTCCAAAGATATGCAGGATAGGTTAATTGGTGATTCTAAGGTGTGAATGTGAGCACGAATGATTGTCTGTCTCTATGTGTCAGCCTTATGATAGTCTGGTGACCTGTCCAGGGTGTACCCCACCTATCACCCAGTGTCAGCTGGGATAGGCCCCCAACAGGATACGCATTTATAGAAACTGAATGAATGAATGAATGAATGAGCACTTGGGACAAAGGATTTCTTGGATTTTTTTCTTTCTTTCTCTTTTGGCCACTTGGGGGCAGCAGAACAAGTTCATAACACAACAATGACATATTTTCACCTTATTAGGTTCTTTTGGAAAACATGTCAGCAAAAAATTGTCCGTTTACGCAACCAATAGACATGTGATAACATCGGAATTCATTTGGAGTCATGTTTCTGGTCGTTCACCAGCTCCTGAGGAAAACACCTCTTTAGCTGCTAAATTATCCACTATGTTCACCAGCTACAGAAGTTGCTTACTTTATCTGCCTGCTGATTGATTCTGGACAGGTCGCATACAGTCAATTTATTAGAGCGTTTTGCTAAAACATCTTTTAGCTACAAAGCTCACCTCAATTGCAGCTGCAGCAAGCAACCAAAACAATGAGCTAAAAGAGGCTAAAAAGCTGCAGAGTTGAGGGGAACAGCACAGTTGGGTGATGATTCTCTGTGTGTCTGTAACTTCTCAGTGACATCCGATCACAGCACGCATAGTCATTTTATCCATTGTTTGTATAAAAATATTTATTAGTGCAGCTTTAAAGTTGTTATGATGGAATATGAGAGGTGAGCAGCAGTTGGTATTAAATCTCCTGTATTAACAATCAGGCAATGTACCGTTTGTATCAGTGCTCATAAAATGAAAACTTTAAAGCAGCTTTAATAAATAATGAAAGCACACAGTCTGTCTCCATCCTCAACATCCACCCTATGGCTGCAGGTAAGGAGCTGTGGGCGGTGGTGAGCAGTGCTCTGGCTCTGGCCCGACAAAACCCCACACCGTTTGTGTCAGCGGTGAGGATAGTGGAGCGGGAGGAGGCCCTGGACCAAGCCTTACTGGAGGAGAGAGGGGGGACCAGAGGCAACAGCAGGCCGCTGCCCCCAGGACGCCCTCGCTGCTGGAGGGCATGCTTCTTCCAGGTCAACACCAGCTGATACAAACATAACACATCACCTTTTTATCAAGTTTTTTTTCTTTTTAAACTTCTAATTGTATGATAAAGTCTGTCCTGTGTCACATTTTCTGTCTTTCAGGTACTAGAGGAGGCCGTCTCTGCACGGTTTCGCAGTGTTTCCTACCTGCACACACGTGGTCCAGGTCTAGCAGGCCACCTCTCTGCTCTCCAACACGCTATCATGGCTGACCTGGCCACTGTACGCCACCTGCTGGAGCACTGCGTCCCACCACACTACCAGTTAACAGGAGCCTACCTGAAAGCCAGCCACCGCTGTTTACATGCTCACCTGGCACAGGTCAGTGATGCTGCAACTTGTTTAACTTTTGTACTCTTCATTATGCATACTACAAATCTGATAGTACAAATCAATTACAGGGACATATTATCTCTTACATAATGTGATGCTATGCATGATCATAGTAAGAGCCAGGAGCCATAAATATGGTCTTTAATGGATTTAATGGTCTGTCCTAAGTTAACCACATTTTTAATTAGCAGTTATTTTCTCTGCGGCAGTCACCATCTTGAGTTTATAGATTTATTATCATTTTAAACATTATACATGTTTAAGTGATTCTTGTGGCCTAGGTTAGCAGCTGGGACTTGGAAAGTGGTGAAATCTTTGCAGTGCTCAACTGGGTGCTACACATCTACAACAGGTGAGGTTCATGACCTGCACACACTCTGTGTTCTATTCTTTGTCTTTCTATCTGTGGCTGGTTCTTTGTGCTTTAAAGCAGTGTTTGTAATGTGTCGCAAAATTAAAATTTAAGGATTATGCAAGTTTGAACTGAGATGACTTGAGAGATTGAGGTCATTGAACACACCTAGGTCAACAACTCCTCCATAGCCATGGAGTCAATACTTGGGAGGACCAAATCTGCAGGGGAGTCCAGCCCACCTCAGAAAAAAAAATTAAAAAACAAATTTCTAATTATATGATATGATTTATCAAAAATAAGTACAGCTACTGTAAACACAATACAATATAACTATGCAAAAATGAAAACTACCTCTGTCAGTAAATATATTGTCCAGCCAAGCAACAGCAGACCTGCAGTACACCACAATACTAGATCTGATAGTAAAAATAATGGCAATAACTTTAATTTATTTGCGAATATGATTACATTTGCTGATGATTATTTGGGACAGTGGTGCATGGTTGCCTGTCTGTTTCCACTCTAATGTGTTATTATAATGATATTTTTTATTCAGCGTTCACATAGTGACAATATTTGTTTTGGATGCCATTGCTATTGGACATTGTTAATGGTCAAAAGCTTAGAGTGTGACAGTCTTGATTTGGCAGCCCAGACATGATGGGTCATCCAGAGCTGGTGACCGAGATGGAGAGAGTAGAACTAGGACCGCTCATCTCCACTGAGGGACTGGAGCAGCTGCAGAACAAATACGTGCAGAGTGTTCGGGTGAGTTATACTGTAGATACACAAATTATGACCTGAGTCCCAGGGTCCTACACAGTTCAAGTAATTGTAGCGCACTTAATTAAAAAGACATTATATAAACTGAAAGTACAGAGGACTACACATGTTCTGTTAGACATCCATCATGTCACATCTTCCAGCATTTTAATGATGGATATCTATTACCTTTTCATAGGGAAACATTGAATACCTATGAAAAAACAATTTTAATTCATATCTGAAAAAGTTGGTGACATTGAAACTGAAACTGGGTTGGAACCACATGCAGAGCGTTACAGAAAGTGGAGGAACATGATAGTATCTGTGTTGTTATACTGAGTGTATTAAATGTGTGCCCATGTTGTTGCTGTTACAGAAAAGTGTATCAGAGTGGATGCACAAAGCTCTACAGGTGGAGCTGCAAGACTGGCAGAGAGACCAGGAGCCAGATACAGACCATGAAGGTTTCTACCAAACCAGCCTGCCCACTATCATCACACAGGTAAACATGCCATACACATACACTAGACATACACATACACAAACACACACACACACACACACACACTGCAACAGCACACAGCAGGTTGTGGAACTTAACTTATTTGTGTACAGTACAGCATGGCGTTAAAAAGTATTAAATTGTCTTAAATTCAGATTGGTCACAATCACGAGAATTTCTGTTGTTGGCGCTATGGAAAGTAACATTTGAACAAGAGGGAAACACTATTCAACAGATGATACAAAACACAACTTCTGTGTGTGTTCTGCCTTGCTCATTAAGTAGTATGCACTGAGGATGTCATCAGTTTCATGTTAGTGCACTTTTCATTTTAAACTGACATCAATGTGCAAATTTGAGAAGAGTACATTTATACTTTCAGTGTGTATGTCCGTCCCAAGTTTACTCTTAAATTTCATTTTTGTTTTGTCCATGGTAGATGCTTGAGGAGAACGCCCGGGTGGCTCTGATGATTGGAGAATCCCTACGAGATCAGACGATACAGATGGGACTGTATGAGATGGAGAACCTCCTGAACAGGTGTGCAAGCTGCACTTGTAGGTGCCTGTCAGACATTTTAATTACTAGTATACAGAGCAGGCTCAGGCAAGTCTTCCCTCTCATCCTTTCATTACCTCCATTCCTTCACATAACAGGTTTCGAGAAGCTCTGGTAGAGTTCGGGAAGGAGCATCGCAGGGATCCGAGCAACAACAAAAACAAGTTCTACCTCCACTATCTGCTGGCCTCCATCAGCAACTGCATCATCCTCAAGTGAGACAATGGCAGAGTGGTGGTGAATGGCTGCTGAAAAAGCTTTCAAAGCTGCATACACAGTTGTTGGACTAATTTTGGACAGTTTGAGGACTCAGAATAGGTTAGAATTTTCTGGCAAGCATCAGTGTTGTGGTAATATTTGTGGCAACTGTTTTTCCATGCTCAAAGAGAGCATACTGTAAAAAACAGAGAACTAGAAAAGAAGAGGTTTCTTGTGAAACTGTGTTTTTTTTTCCTATAAATGGAAACAGATGGACAAAGACATTTCTTCAGCCAAGGCTAATCATGGAGATATTCTTTTTTATTTTGGCAAATCATCTCATATTCATCTCCAATCAAGCTGTGCGTCGCCAATCAATGGGGCATGTAGTTTTTAGTCTGCACATTTTATTGCCTGTGGACATTTAGTGATGTTGAGATTCAACCTAAATGCCAGAAAAAATTCTGGCATTATATGTTTCTGTGAACTATGGATACGTTACATTTGTGTTTTATTATGAAGCAGATACTTTGAGATACGATTCAACAGCACTGTGGTTAATGTGTGGTAAGGTTTAGGCACGACAACAACTTGATCAGGAAAAAAATCATGTTTGGCTTAAAATACCCAGTTCTGGGTGCACTATCACTGCTGAAAACACAGCGATGATTCTTTAAACTTACTAAAGAACTACAAGCTTTTAGGTTTATCACATCACATGCAGTTGTTAAAGACTGGAGGCAGCTGGCTACTGACTTCTACTCTACTTCCTGTAATGAGGATACTATCTAATCAGTTTGTCCTTAATTAAATTGATTAAAAATTAAGCTCTGATGATCTGCCTGATGTAGGTGGTGCTGTCTCTCTAGTAGTCCCAGCACAACAAACGACAAGAACTGGCAAAATAAAAGCTAATGAAATAAAAATCAGAAAACCAAATACAGGCCTAAACAAAATCCCCTGTCTTTCCTGTGTTCGATGCAGAAAGTCCACAGAGAGCCTGCAGCAGCAGCAATCATCCCGGTCGGCAGGACAGTTGTCTCGGACTCCTCCCAACCCTCTGGCAGCTCTGGACCGGGCAGTGAGACGGGCGTGTCGTCTGGTGATGGATCAGCTCCTGCTGGACCTTAAACCTTTCCTTCCAGCCCTGCTAACCCGACCCTGGCTGGTCCAGGGAGACCCCACCCCTAAACTCTGCCACGTCCTGGAGCGCCACCTGGAGCTGTACGGCCGTGTTCGACCACCCTGCAGACAGGTCACAGCTTTGCTCTGATTTTGTCTTTTCTCAGTTTATTGTTTGATTAAATCCAGTGGGTGGAGCTGAAGAAGAGTTTTATGTCAAATCAATTTAAGGCACAAAACAAAGGGAGGAGGACTCTAGTATTTGTATTTACTTCTTTTTCCTCATGTGTGGGATGTGCTTGTCTTATTATACATAATAATGTACATAATGTGGTATAAGATTATTTATGTCTTGGATACCTCAAAGAAACAAATATGCCCACTACAATTTATACAGTCCAAATATATGAATATTTATTAAACTAGGAATTTATCATATGACTATGTAATTCACAAACTCAAAACTTTTGGCCGAATCTTATTTTAATGTCTACAGCGCCTGCAAGAGGAGGCCCAGTGGCTGATGGTGGTCGAGTATGTCAGGGCTCTGATGCAGAAGAGGCTGGTGTGTCGCAATGCTGAGGAAAGGAGGCAGCTCGCTCAGCAGATGGTTCAGGACGACCAGCAGTTTAGAGAAATCTTCCACGGCCTGGTGAGGAGGAGCTGACTCGTGCCGTCACGATTCAGAAAAGTTCATTAATGCATTTTAAAACTCTGGAATATCATGGTGTATCAGAAGTCTAAGCAGTAGTAGTAGCAACAGGAGTTTTAGTGTCTCATGATGGCTTAAAGGAATACTTCACCCACAAAATCACCATTTGTATATCACTCACCCTGTGTTACATTGCATTTCATAGAGATAACTCTGTTTTTCTCGTATGCTGTCACTGTGAACGGAGAATCCAAAAAAGGACAACATTCATTATTCATTCAAGTAATTATGGTCTACATTTCACAACAGCAAAACTATATCAAAACATCTGTTTACAAACTCTCTCACGACTCGTGCAGAATAATCCAAGTCTCATTTATCCAGGTGAATGCCCAGTGCTTCCCAAACATTTTCTCTAAAACATTACAATTTAAAACAGGTCAGACAGTCAAACATGGACAAGTAGCATGTCTGTATGTGCATAGGTTTGAATTCTGCTCAAGCACAGCTCAAGGGCACATGCATACCCAGGTACGCTCAGGGAGCACTACTCATAGTGTTTTATATCATAATGTTGTAGCGAAAATTCATGTGTTTAAAAAGTAATGAGAATAGACTGGATAAATGAGACTGGTATTATACTGCATGAGTTGTGTGAGAGTTTGTAAACAGATGTTTTGATGTAGTTTTGCTGTTGTTAAATGTGGACCCTGATTACTTCAATTCCTGAAGACTGTTTGCCTTTTTTGGATTTTCCATTCACTGTGGAGGCATGTGGAAAAAACAACTTTTCTTAGTGAATTCAAGGTATTGTGCGGTTAGTAACTGATATACAAATGGTCATTTTGTGGGTGAAGTATTCCTTTAAAAGCTGTCTATATTCAGATTCCTGTATCAATCAAACTGGTGTACCTTTCTGCAGGAAGGTGAAGGGTCAGTACCTGAAGTGAATCCTTTGGCCTTACTACCTGTCCTGGCTGACTTTATTCAGCTGGGGGACTCTGGCATGCTCACTCTGGAAGTTTCTGGACTCGCAACCAAATACCCTGACATCAGGTAATCTGACCCTCCTGCTTTTCAGCCCTCACTGCTAATTACTAGTGTAATTGTTAAACTGCCACAATCTCTTGATAGCATGTAACACTAATGATGTTACGAAAAAAAAGTTTTATGACCATGTGTCTCTGTTTCCTTAGTGACGAGCATGTGTCTGTACTGCTGGACATCCGTGGGGATGTCTCCAGGGACGTCAGAGGGGCTGTAATGGAATCACTGGAGCAGAGCGCCCCCCCTCTGCCTGCAGGATATCGACCCATCTTCACTGACATCCTGGTGCCTCACTCCACCATGGCCTTCTGCCTGCCCACTGCCAAGTGTGCATGACTGGGGCTGAAAACTGTGGCCTGAACTCAGATTTTCACATTAAAGACAGGTGGAGGTGGATCTGTTTCTCAGATCATCAAGCCAGATGCCCACAGCTCGTTGGAGCAAACAAACGAACACTGGTGAATCTGCTCCTGTTGTGCTCAAGTTACACTGACGGATGGCCAGTCTGTGATCAAGTCTGTCACTCATTATTTATCCAAAGTGCATCAGCTGAGTTTTTTCCTGCTTCACACTCACAGTATTACACGTTATTCATTCTGGGAGCTGCCCAGTACCACGACATTGTGCTCTTTTGTTGCCCAATGAAGTAGATTAAGGGTTCAGGGCCTTGCCCAAGGGTCGTTAACGATACATGTTAAGTGAGGGGAGAGTGACACTTTTTCGTTTCCTTCACCTACAGCTTAACAGGGCTTTGAGCAGGTGACTTGATGATCTAACTTCATTTGAAACTCATTTGCCTGGTACAATTCTGAATCTGTATGCCACTACAGCTAAAATGGTTATAAGTTGTTGTCTTGTGTCTTGGCGATTTATGCCACAGATTTAACCAGACGTGGACATTAAAGCTGCGTGAGCAGCTTTAAACAACAGGCTCAAATGTTTGACACTGGCTTCTTTTCTTTGCACACAGCCCTCTTTATATGTGCCATCTTGGCCGTTGCATGATACTATCAAATGGATCATGCCGTTTTAAAAGGATGATTCCCTATTAAAATATTTCATTGACAGTACTTTCTACTGAACAACTGCTTTAAATGCCTTCAGCAACATTCCTTTCACCATCACTGTATTTGGGTGGCAGCAGACATTTTAGTGGCAGATATCTCACAAAACCAAAATTATTCACATGGCTACATGTTATGGCTAAGATGTTTGTGTGTGTATGTGTGACTCAGGTGAACTGACACATTAAGTGGCATCCATCACATAACACAATTGCACCTATTGGAGATAATTATTCAGGGATGTATGACACCTTCCTGAAGAAACAAACCATTGGATTTTGAATTGGCAAATCAATTTGTGTATATGATGCAGTGTTTATTTCATGCAGAGCTTAGGAGTCAATGGTTTGAAATTACATCTAGATAAAATCTGATTTCTGGTATATTCATTGAAAAGCCAAACAATAAAAAGACACCATGAAGCATCTGAAGGATTTTGCCATATGTGACAGACAACAGTAGATTGATCAGTTACAACATAAAGTGTCTGACTTTTAGAATATGAAGAGCATTTTATTAAAGCACCATCACATTACAGTCTAAGGCTAAACAAGGGTTTTCAGTGAGGGCTCTTGGACTGTGACCCATCCCACTGGAGGAGCTCAGACTGCTGTAATTACATCTAAATCACCTTTGAAATCAACTTGTCATTAACTTGGCTTCATGTATTATTGTCATTTCTTAAAAATGTGTCCAGTTTATCTTGTATTGATGTTCATATTGGGTGTTTTTAGTCAGTTTTTTATGTATTTATTGTATTTATGTATGACTTTTCTGCAATGTTTCCTGTTGTTGTTGCAAAGGATGTTCCCCTTGTTCTGGTTCAATGCCAGCCTCTAAAGCACACTGTAAACTCTGTCACATAAATGCTAAAATAAATGCTTTTTAAAGTATACTTTCATCTGTTATGATTAATATTTTTACTATTACAAATTCCTACGGGAATATGATAAAAATAAAAATGGTGTTATGTAGCGCTTGTACTTTTCATTTTAGATTTACAGAAAAAAGTATAGCATAAAAAGTAAAGGAGAAAAAATAAATCTATTATATGACATTTTACACTGTTGGTAATATAATGAAAAAGTTAATTAGGTAATGTCAAAAAATATTAACACACAACAAGAGTTACATCACATACTTGGTGTATACAAGTACACAACAGTCTACAGTTGGTAGGGCATGATTTCAGTCACGTGACTCAAAGAGTTTGTGACGTCGCTGGGAAAGATGGCCGCTTCCATTCGAGCAACGCTGTCTCTGTAATCCGATTTACTTTAAGACTTTGTGTAGAGTATTTCGTTAACAACAGCTTGTAATTAGTCGTACATGTTACCGGAGTGTTGCAGCACTTGTGGCAGAGATGAAGACCTTCTGTGGAAGAGCCAACCCGAGCACCGGAGCTTTGGACTGGGTGGAGGAGAGTGAGGAGTACGACTACCACCAGGAGATAGCCAGGTAGCTCCGAGCTTAGCATCACAGCCCCGAGAGACAGGAGCTGCACGGACCTGAGTGTTGTTGTTGGTGGTACAGTTTGTAAAACAGTACACAGGACACTGGAATTTATTATGAGCCTTCAGAAAACACGACAACAACACTGGAGCAGACAGTTAAAATGTGTTTTCTGTGGTTGTGCTGTCAAGTGTGCTAACCCAACAGATGAGTTTAAAGCCCCAGAATCCCTGTTGAGTCTGAGTGTTAAAGTAACTTCTGTCAACAAGCAACCCAACTTTACTGTGACAGTTTTTATATGCAGTGTGACGTGATGCGTCCTTGTACAACTCAAGCTCGTACAAGTATTTCATACATACATACATACATACAAGTTTATTTTTATTTTATTTTTTATTTTTTATTTTATTACTGTAGCATAAACTGATTTCGGTCAGTATTTTAAGCTCAGATTTGGGTTTTGTTTGTTTGTCCCACATGATGTGTCCAAGAACTGTCGTAAATTTTAAATTTCAAAGGATAATTTCTGTTTTTACAGTTTCTGGCTGTGATAAATGGTGTAACTTTGGTGATTTTTAAAAGGAAAATTAAAAAATTTGGAGTAAAACAAATACAAAATACAGAAATATTTGTATGCCCCTCCCCTAAGCCAAAATAGAAAAACAAAAGTCCCTCCTTAGTGCTTAAAAAATTATTTGTCATGCCTCTTCCTTTTTGCACCACCCCCTCCTCCCTTATAACTAACAGTCCCTTATCAGCTGACATATGTAAATATATATAAATTGAATTCTTATTTATTATTTGTTAAAAAGCAAAGCGTAAAAAAAAATGCCAGAGTTTTATCAGAGTTAGGGATTTTGTCCTTATTGTACAGCACATGGGACTAGTGTTAATATTAATTTCACCATCTAAATCTGTTGTTCCATGTTTATCTTTCAGGTCCTGCTATGCTGATATGCTACATGACCATGACAGGGTGAGTGTTGGAAAACATGACATCAACCTCTGCTTTATATGTTTGTAATGGAGCAGAGTTTGCTGTGGTGATGTAGTTATTTCAGATTTAAAGTATTTTATGTGTTTTATGAGACTGTTCCATGATATGGGTGTGTACTGAAACATATTGTGAAATTGGTGGGTGTGCAATATCAAGATATCCTCTGTTTATACTTCAATCACGAAGAAAACAAAGCTGATTGTAGGCATGACACTGACTATGTATCTGTTTGTTAAGCTTCTCGCTCTTCTTCAGCACTGACACAATTGATGTACTCTCTGCCTCCAGAATAAGAAGTACTACCAGGGCATCCGGGCAGCTGTAGCCAGAGTAAAGGCTCGTGGTGAGAAGGTTATTGTCCTGGACATCGGGACAGGAACAAGCCTACTGTCCATGATGGCTGTCACTGCTGGAGCCGACTTCTGCTATGCTGTGGAGGTAGAGATGCTCTTGCTTTATGTACTGGATGAGGACTGTACATTTCAAGGGGCAATACCCCTAATTAAGCTCTCAGAAATTTCAGCAGGCATGCTAAATTTGCTTGCTTTTTGACCAGGACATGAATGGACACTAGGGTTGCATTCCTCAAATCCCAAATGATGCCAGGTGTCATCTCTGTTTCCTTCATGCCTGCAGGTTTTTAAGCCCATGGCCGATGCAGCGCGGTGCATTGTAGAGAAGAACGGCTTCTCTGAAAAGATCAAGATTATCAACAAACACTCCACTGATGTCACTGTGGGGCCAGGTCAGAGAGACTCACACGAATGCACACACAGCTGCACTTTATACACGTTGGTGTTCCTTTGCTTCTGTCACATGACTGTGGAAGTTAATGTGTCTGTTGTTTTCTACAATGAGAAATGTGATTCTCTGTGAATTAGAGTCCTGAGAGAAGTCTGCAGAGATGAAATCATGTTGATTGTTAGTATGTTTGTGTTGATGCGATATGTGTTGTGTTTGTAATTGACTACAGATGGAGATATGCAAATGAAGGCCAATGTTCTGACCACAGAGCTGTTTGACACAGAACTGATAGGTGAAGGTGCCCTGCCCAGCTATGAGCATGCTCACCAAAATCTGGTCCAGGTGTGTGTGTATATATGTTAATGTCTTTGCCGATGTCATTTTGGCTAAAATAAACTGCAGACTGTTGGTGGTCATATCCGTCTCCTCGTGTCCCTCCACCCTGCAGGAGGGCTGTGAGGCGGTCCCTCACCGAGCCACTGTCTACGCCCAGCTGGTGGAGTCGGAGCTGCTGTGGAGCTGGGCTCAGCTGCAGCCGGTGGAAGTGGAGGGGGCCCGCCTTGTCCCGCCGCCCGCTGTGGGCCACTGTGCTGGAGCTCATTCAGTGTGTGACATCCAGCTGAGCCAAGTGTCTCCTCACAGCTTCACCCCGCTTAGCCCTCTCTGCACCATGTTCAGGTGAGAAAGTGTTCTCCAGATTGTTTTGGCCGGAGGCATATTCAAATTTGGCACAAACGTTGTTCTACTTGGGCTCAACAATGAACTGACTGATGGTCAAAGGTTAAAGTCATGGTAACTATGACCTTGCAGCCATCTCATTCTTGTGAACGTGATGTCTTAGTTTCTCAGATTTGGTATAGACTTCTACTTGGACTCAAGGATGAACTGATTAGAATTTGGTGGTCAAAGGTCAAGGTCACTGTGACCTCAAAAAACATGTTTTAGTATTTATAGCTTCTTTGCAGCAACATCCATATTTGAAACATTGTCTGCTGCCATTGTTTCTTTTGAGTCTGGACAGACATGGATGTTATCTGTAACTGTAACTTGGCTTGTTCGGAGGCATACAACTGCGAGGCGGTAATTGTAGTTTCACGTCTTGCTTTCCTTCCCTCTGCACTCCTTTCTTCTCTCTCAGTGTGGATTTCAGTAAACCAGTAAGCAGCGCATTCCAGTCCTACTCCTCCCAGTTTGTGGCTCAGTCCAGCGGTCAGGCCCAGGTCTTCCTGTCATGGTGGGACCTCGACATGGATCCCAGTGGAAGCATCGTGTGCACCATGGCTCCCAGCTGGACATACCCACAGCCAAAGATGGCCCCTGTGAGTGATAGGACACTAGGTTATGTTGCTCTACATGTGGCTCCCATCAACTCCTGCTGATTACTGTGGTGTGTTTCAGTGGCGGGACCACTGGATGCAGAGCGTGTACTTCCTGCCTGTGGAGAGCAGGGTGACAGGAGGAGAGGAGCTGAGTCTGACTGTCTGCCATGATGACTACAGTCTGTGGTACAGTCTGCAGTCTCACAGGTAACAGCTCAGAGACAACATAGCTGTGTATTTCCTGCTTTACTTCAGAAACACTGTTTGAATCTGTGTCAGTGTCACAAGGTCTACATGCTTTTATTGTTGTGTATGTTTCTGTCCTCAGCCAGCAGGACTCACAGACTGAGGGTCCTCCGTCTCGGCCGTGTTGCACCTGCCAAGCTCATCTGGTTTGGACTCGACCGCGTTTCGGTGAACTCAACGACAGGCAGCGTACAGAGAGCTATGTCAGCGCGCTGCGCAGCGTAAGCGAAGGCCAGCAAGAATCTAACCTGTTAAAGAGTTAATGGATACGACTGTTCTCTGATTACCTGTTGTGTGTACTCCAGGTTCTGAGGGAGGACAGTGTGTGTCTTGGCGTCAGCGATGGAAGTCTGCTTCCTGTGTTTGCTCACATGATGGGAGCCAAGAAGGTACTCTACTTTGAACATGTGGACACATACTGTACCTTTTCAAACCAAATACCATTCTCACACTCTGTTATTGACCTGTTTTTTTTATTCTCTCGGCCTCTGCTCAGGTTTATGGTTTGGAAAACTCTAGAATGTCCAAACAGGTTATTGAGCAGGTAATAACAACTACTTAGTTTTCCACCTCATCCTTGAGAACGGACAGATGAGCCCTAATATTGTCACTCTTTTAGGTGTATCAACACAAAAACACAGAACTCCAGTGACAGTATAAGAGATGCTGATGCTACACATTTTTCTCTGCAGGTGTTGGAAGCCAACTTGATAAAAGGAGGTGTTGAGCTGCTGGAGATCAGGCCTGAGCAGCTGACCAGTAACGATCTGGGAGGAGAACAGGTACCTTTGGAACATGCGGCCAGTGGTGTGCACTGCCACCTGCTACAGTGTTGGTATTACCATCAGAGTGTGGCCTACACATTGTGACTTTTGAGATGCACTAATCCATATTTTTATAAATCAGCCAACAAATCAGTTAATGCTGCTTTGGCTCTTTTCTTTTGAGTTGCTTGGCTGTACATTCGTTGTAATTCAATCCATCTGATAAAGTTTGAAACAGAAAATCCCACGCAAATCTATTGTTTACAATTTGATGATAAAATGTCAGTGATGTGTATCTCAGTGGAGTGAGTGTAAAGCATCTCTCGCACAGATCTCAGTCCTGATGGGTGAGCCATACTTCAGCACCAGCCTC